TAAAAATTGATGAATAAATTATTTTTGTTAAGTTTTAATATTTTTTTTCTTCTTAAATATTTTACGACAACCAAATATAAAACACAAAAATATTTTTTGAAAAATATTTTAAGCTCAAATAAAGAAGAGAGAAAAGTAAAATTTTAAATTCACAATTCTTCTTGAGGTTGAGGTTAATAAAAGTTCTTTGACTCTTTTGAATTTTAAAATCAATTACTTTTTTTTTCAAGGCAAGAAATATTAGAATTTAGATTAATAGATGCAGAGATAGAAACTTGTCACTTTAAAATTTACTCAGGACACTAATTAATTGGACTATAGAAGCATTTGCAATTTTAAAATCAAATTGACTTTTTTACTTTTTAATAGTTACCAACTAGGTATGGAGAAAAATGTAGTAGTATACAAGAAGAAAGAAAGCAAAAAAGAGAAAAAATAAATAAAAAATACTTATTTATTATATATTATTTATTTATTTTTGAACGCTCTGTGGGGATTTGAGAAAATGGAGCAAAACGGCGCCGAATAAAGCAAAAGTGAGAAAGTAACCGTTGAAAGTGCAGCTGTATATCATGAGGGCATATTCAATACTCCGTAATACTAACAGCTGTACTGCGTGGGATCATGTTTTCACATATAAACCCCAAAAAAACGCGGTTATGTATGTATACTGTATGTAGCACCGACCCTACAATACCACGGCGTGGGACGAAATCAAAGTCAACACCATTTTTCATTGAAGTCAATGTGGATTTTGCATTTTGGACCCTTGCAGATTTCCTCTTTCCTTGTAACTCGTGTTGTGGAACTTTTTACATTACTCTGTAGAGAGATGGGCCACACAACCAAGGAGTTGGCCCCTTCGCACTCTCTCTCACAAAACATATATATATATATATATATATATATATATATATATGGTCGAAGGATGTAATCCATAGTGATTATATGTTAAAGGGATACGAAATATAGTCCAAAATTCAAAATAAATAAGCGATAAAAACATATACAAGGATAGTTGAAATTTAAATTAATGTAAAACTCGTTCAAATCTCAAACAAATCGAAACAACTTGAAAGTTTTCTTTTAAAAAAATGTGACTAGTGGACTTTAAAAGGTCTGAAGAATTAAATAAATATATATATTTTTAATATATAAACCCTAGAAAGTGACTTGATCGTCAGGAGAATATTTCAGCTTGTCCACCTTGATCACCATTCCGCTTGTTTTGTAGGAAACGTCTATAAACATATAGGGTTTTTATTAAATTGATGTAGTGAATAAGTTCAATTGTGGAATATTTGCTACATTAAAAAGATAAAAATTATATGACTATTCAAATAAGTTAGAAAAATCAGTCAAAAAAATATTTCCAAGTTGAGTTAAGTGCGTATGGTAATAGTGAATTTTATTACAAATGTAGACCTCATTGTAGTAATGTTTTTACTGTTCAACTCAAAAAGAATGATAGAAGTCTATGTTATTAGAACAAAAATGAATGCTTAAATGTGTCTTGTGCATCCACATAAAATGTATCACACATTTTTTTTTTCAAATATATATAAAAAATAAAGTGTTAATGTCAAGGAAAAAAAAAAAAAAATGGTTGATCAGTATTGTATTGGAAATTTTGTTATTGGGAAAATCAATCCATCCAATAATGACAAATCTTGGGAGATGTGATTAAAACTTTCGATAAGATATGTTTATTAGTATGATGAGTCCACCATGTGGACCAAGTGGTGGACCATGGGCGGGTGTGGATCCAACAACTATGGGTGCGCATGGGCGTGATGGTTCGGTCCAAATGGCCTGGTTTTGATATCCATAAGGGAAGTTACCTACTAGGAGATGACATCAGATAAAAGGGCCCACAAATGGAGTACCTTCCAACAAGTTTATGGCTCACCGTCCATTTGCCTTGGCATCAACCTGATGGACGGTGGTGGGGATAAAACAGTTGCCAATTTGGGACCCAATGATGGTGTCAATGGTTTGAATGAAATAGCTCGGAAAAGTATAGGATATTATGATTACAAAATCTCATTCGAAAGAAAGGGTTCCATCAAATAGGCCCATAGCCACATGACATATTTTTTTCTCTCTCTCACTTGTCAAGCAAAGTTTATTTTCTCTCTTTCTCACTTGTCAAGCAAGTTTAAGGACTGAGATGCCGGCACCATGTCAAGCAAGTCATTGACTCCATTGTCAAACACATGAAACAGAATTAAAAGTTCAAGTAGGGCATACAATCAGTGCAATGAAATTGGAATATGACTTAATTTTTTACAATTTTAATTTCAAAGCCTATACGGAGACCAAAAAAAATTTAAAGCATGCTTGGTTTGTCATTTTAAGAACGGTAATTGAAAATAAAAAATTATACTTGATTCAGTTTTTTGAAAACTCACTTATAAAAAAGTCTGTTTTCAGAGAATTATCTTTTATTATTCTCTGAAAAATTATTTTTTGTTTTCTGAATTCTTGAGAACTATTTTCAGAGTTACAAATCAAGTAAGTCCTAAAGAACTCGCTAGCATTGGCAAAACTATAATATATATATTAAATATTAATTTGTTTTTATAAGAAACTATGGACATTTGTAGAGATTTTTTTTTTAAATTTTTTTCGTCATTTTTAATTACCAATCTTTATAATAAAATATATGCAGCTTACTAAACCATCCATTTTGTTTGACTGGCTGAATAATCCATGAAATATTGTAGTTTCTTTGTAGTGGGGCAATCTTGTGATATGTTACTTACCAAAAGTGTGTGTATACATATATATATATTATATAAAATGTTAGTTTTCTATTCACTTAATTATATATCCCTTCTCACACTCCCAAGTCCCATGCCAATGTTGTCAAATGTTAGTTTTCTATTCAATCTATCCCTTCTCACACTCCCATACAGAGACTAAATTAAGGATGGATTGAATTTTTCTTTTTCTTTTTCTTTTTTATTTTTTATTATTTAGTACTCACACATACATATTTCTATTGAGGTTCGAATTATTGACCTCCCTTTAAAGAGTAGGAGTCTGATACCACTAGGCCACAAGTCTGTTGATGGATTGAAATTTTCAACTCAAGTCCAACCCTCTTCTCAAAAAACAAACAAATAAATAAAAATACTATCCAACCCCATTCAAAGACCGAGTTAGTTAGGCTAGTTTGACTCGTCCAAGTTGCAACCCTGTATTAGAGAAACATAGGATCACTCACTTTGAAAGAAGTGTTGTACATTTAACCAGACAATATTTGCACTACAATGGTACTATAAGTTATATATGTTACCTGAACTTGGATATGTGTGTCGGACGAGGGTATATATGTATTCAGGTGTCGGACGTTTAAATAGAAGGTCACATGGATATTCATTTTATTTAATTATCTTATTTTATTTGTTTGGAGTAAAGTACTATTTTTATTTAATATAGTGTTCAATATAGACATTTAACTCATTTTAAATTAATAATATAATATGAATGAATGAATGAATGATTGGATATGGGTTTTAACTATATGTTCACTTAAAAGTGTAGGTCATATATATCATACTCATGTCTTGCAATATGTGTCTAATGTGTCCCATAGGAATACTTTTGAAGAGTCACGTAACTATAAAAAAAAAAATCATAAAAGTGTGAGTTTTTCAAAAGTTCAAAAATGATTTAATGTTTCACGTATCTATGTAAGTTCCTCGTGGTTGCAAGAAACCCCACAACCGTGAAGAACAAGCTAGTTCCACCATCAATTCCAATCAGAAGTTTGACTTATAACTCCATACAAGTAGTAGGTGTATTTGAAATTTAGATGAAACTACCAAACAAGAGTCAATGCTTGATGTTGATGAGACTATATATATAATAATAATAATGTTTTGACTATAAATCTAAATGTGAAAGGTCAACCAAGCACAAGTTAATACAAATCACAAGTTGTGCCTTTTAATTTCTTGTATAAGCAATTAATGGTACAGTTCTTTCATTCATTCACTCACAATTCACATGCACGTGTAGTGTAAATAAAAGTGTACAACTTGCATGCATATACATATATATATATACATATATATATTAAATAAACACTCTAGCATGCAACATTGATACATTAATTATTGTTGTAGCATAGGGGCAGCTCACAGCTGGATAAGATCCTAAAACAATAACAATTACATAAATGAGTAGTTGCTTGATATATTATATGTATACACCATACCACAAACACTCACACACACATACACAGTCGTGTAGATACAGAAAGGAGCATGAAAGATGTGACAACAGTACTTAAATGCAACAAAACATAAACGTGTTTAGTGGTTGAATTAATTAATTAGTATAAGCAAAGCAAGCTATGTTTTTCATAATTATGTCTGTTTAGTACTTGAGGTATGAAGGATTATGAAAACATCAATGGAATGATTAACAAATAATTCCAAAAAAAGCTATTAGAAAATCAAAATTAAGAAAAGCTGGCCAAAAACTTCCTTACTATGATACACACACACACACACACACACACACACACACACACAAAACCTATAATGTTATAGGCTTGATTTTCAAAAACTTTAAGATTGCCCCATAATTAGTCCTTCTCAAAATTTAATTTCTAGCCACAATAAGCCCATCTAAGCCGTATTCGACTATTTGTATGCATACCCAAGACAAAGTTTGAAAGTTGTAACAACAACGAGGCCTTGGGCCTAGCAGAAGATTAGATGCGCCTAAACTACTAGTTCAGTTTGGTCTAATAAAGACGTCAAGCCCAGCCCAAATCATTAATTTTGTGTTACAATTTGTTATTAGGTTTAAAATAGAAAGTGAAAGTCATATCCTTCAATCATCACGAACCTAGAGAAGCGAAGGAGATTGGCTATGGTGGTTCTTGTGTTCAACAGCACCCGTGAATGATTAACTAACGATCAGGTGAGTTCCTCTCTAACAGTGACAATCACATTTCTTCTCCAATGATTTATATATACAGTAAAATGCTTGTTTGTTTGAATTGCTCTTCTGTTTTACATTCAACAATCCACAAATTTTATGGCCTACAAACCAATTCTCCACTGTCTTCATCACTCAAATCCATCTCAACTTCCACAAATCAACACTCGTTTACAGTCAATTACCTCATCAATTCATGTGGGTTGTCTCCAGAAACCGCCATTTCAGCTTCCAAAAAGGTCAATCTTAAAACCCTAGACAACCCAGATTCAGTTCTCAACTTCCTCATCAACCACGGATTCAGCAAAACCCAGGTCTCATCTGTCATCAGAAAATACCCACGACTTCTCTTATGGGATCCCAAGAAAAAGCTTTTGTCCATATTCGACTTTTTTTACTCCACCGGCATTTCCAGCGCCGAGCTCGCGAAGATGGTGTCCAATCACCCACTTATATTGACACGAAGCTTGGCGAACCATATCATCCCATCTTTCATTCTCTTCATTAATTTATTTGATTCACATCATAAGTTTATCACCGCCTTTAAACGATTTCCTAGAATTGTACAGAGCTATAGCAGTGCTAATTCATTCTCTAACATTGAAATTTTGAGGCAACACGGCGTGACAGATTCGAAAATTGTCCACTTACTTACTTCTCAGTCTAGGTCACTCAACTTCAAGCCTCATAGATTGAATGAGGTAGTAGAGGATGTTAAGAAAATGGGTTTCAACCCATCAAACACCAACATTCTTAATGCGGTTCAAGCATTGCTGACAATGAGCAAATCAACATGGGAACGGAAGATGGAGGTTTATGAGAAGTGGGGTTGGTCTGGGGAAGAAACAATCTTGGCTTTTAAAAAATTTCCGTGGTGTATGATGGTATCAGAGGAGAAGATAATGGCGGTGCTGAATTTTTATGTCAACACAATGGGTTGGAAGTCTTCCCTAATTGCCACTCGTCCAAAATTAATGACATACAGTTTGGGTAAGAGGATAATTCCAAGGTGTTCGGTACTTCAAGTTTTGTTGTCGAAAGGTTTGGTTAAGGAACCCATTAGTGCAGCCACATTGTTGGATTACAGAGAGAATTTGTTCCTCAAGAAATTGGTGACTTGTTACGAGGAAGAAGCTCCTCAGTTGTTGAAACTATATCAACAAAAATTGGAACTTTCAAATTCAGATGCTCGTGATTATGAATGTAAGAGTGGGGTCCATGCCCAGTGTGTTTTCAAATTAAATTCATGAGAGCAGCACATACTATGATGAGATGGTTTATGCATGTAGAGTCTAGACATTGAAGAGAAGGAATATATGTTTGTTCTGTTGATTGCTTTGAAGTTTAGATGAGGAGCGATAGCCTATTTCAAATTAGATTAATAAGAGCAGCACATACTATGGTGAGATGGTTTATGTATGTAGACATTGAATTGATGTAATGTTTGGAATGGAATAAGCCCCGAACCCCCAAATAGAAGAGCGGTTTAGGTGGTTTAGGTTTGCAACACAATGTGTGTGTCTTGATTAGGTATTTTTTTTGGTACCTTTTTTAATAATAATAATAATAAAAAGTAATGTGCAATTCTAAGATCGCGAATAAAGAAAGATGCAGACTATAAATAAAGAAAGATGCCGATTGAAGAGGCGGACAGCACATCAACATACTTTATTTATCTTCTTTTCATTCCAAAGTACAGACCTGTATTTTCAATTCATGGTGTATCAATTAACTTTCAGCAACATGTATTTCAACCTCTATTTAGAATGCATTTTCGAAAGGTCCAAATTATAATTTCATTCTAAAGTTATACTAAACAAAATTTTAGTAACTATTAAAAGTACTTTTTATCAAAAATATCTAAATGAGCTATACTGAATAATATTTCAAAATAAAAGCGTTTTTAAGCAATAGAGAACTAATTCCAAATAAGGTCGTAGTGACAAAACAACAACACTTGATTGTTGTAATTTTCCTAAATTTCCTTAGAATTTAGAAGTGCTGATTAGTTTTGAAAGTCCTTACTCAATTTAACATTGTTTATACCTTTTCGGGAAAAATTAAAAAACCTTCATTTCTTATCTTACCAGCAATTTTATCCTGGATTTTATCTAGTCACAAATAACCTTTCTTCTAATAACAAATGCATTTTTTTTTCCTTCATATTGGTGCTCATGAGTTACTATCCTCTCTTAAAAAAAAAAAGTGTAAAGTACACCACCTCCTCCTCAGATTTGCCCTAAGGACAATCATATACAAGTTGAGTCATTTTTTAACAAAGACACCCTCTCAAGTTTGATATAGTTACCAAAGACACACCAATGATCACGGACATGTAATGAATTGACATTGTTACCCTTTGACTTTTATATTGACCAATTTAAATGTTGAAATTACCTTTTCTAACCTTATATAATACTTTACCCAAATAATTAATTAGACCCATTTCTTTCCTTCTCTCCTCTCTTTGTTCACTCTCATCCTCCTCTTGCCGCCCCTTTATCCTTCCATTTTTTCTCTTTTATATACACATGTATATACGTATACACACACACAAGGAGGCAACGGCGACGAAAGTGAGTTGTCGTCAAGGATGAATCGCACCGGTGAATTAGATATTATGATGAACAAGAGGCATTCGATTTGGCTTGGTCGATTTTGTCTTCCGTTTCGGCAATAGCGCCTCCGAAGTCGCCCTCATCAACTATGATGGCGATCAAGTAGCCATAAAAAGGTCTTGACGTTCTTGTCAGACTCGACGACCACCACGATCTTGCCTTTTGAGTGCCTGTTGCACTAACTGAGCGTGAATTTAAGGGCCAAATTGGGAATTACTGTCATGGGTTGTGGAGGTGAAGGTGGGTGGTGGTGGCGATGGTAAGTGGTGGGTGGTGTTGGAGAGAGAGAGAGGGGTGGTGCGACGGCAGTGATGGCGGGTGGTGTTGGAGCGGCAAGAGGAGAAAGAGAGAGAACGAAGAGGGAAGAGAGGAGAGAGAAAGGGGATGTGAATAGGTTGTGGAGGGGAGAGAAAGGGGTTGTATATATATACCCCCAAATCGTCTAGGCACGACTTCGACGGTGGCCAGAACAGAGTAACGAGGCACAATCTCTCCAAATCAAAACTCTTTCTTTCATTTCTAATCTCTTAATTAACAAAAAAACAAACACCAATCACTTCCATAATTTATAAGTACAATGTTTGGCCACATAATTAATATTTTAAAATAATTTCATGATTTTTTTAACAATGAAATTAAATATAACAAATAAAAATAAGATTAAACAATGTTTGATCAAATAATGAAAAAAAGTCTCAAGGGATGAGAATCCACGACCATGAATCCATATAAACAAATTTCTTTTGTTCTTATCAATTTTCTTTTTATAAGCAACTCACTTCATCTTTTCAATTACAACTTGAAAAGATAAAAGAAAATATAGGGTTAAACAACATTTGCTTATATAGAAGAGAACATTTTTATTTTTTATTTTTTATTTAATCTGGTATATCTTTCATAAATTGAAGTAGGCATTCTCCAAATTATCATTAATTGGCTAATACAAAGAATCCTCCCTTTAATTTTGATATCAATTTAAGAATAAAAAATGGAAGAATAAAAGACATGCTTTAATGATGAAAATTAAAACAAGACATTACAGAAATTCAATTACATGTCAGCTAGTGACGGACGCAGAAAATTTTGTGAGGAGGGTCAGTCTTTTAATTTGTGGGGGCAAACTTATATACTGGGTTCATTTTTGTAATTTCAATGAAGTTTTCTTCATAAATTTTAAAAAATTAAAGTATAAAATGCAAAAAAAAAAATCAGTGGGGGTGAATTGTAATATTAGTGGGGCATCTTAAAAAATTCTCAATAATTTGAAGTATAAAATGCCAAAAAAAAAAAAAAAAAAAATTCAGTGGAGGCGAATTATAATTTTAGTGGGGCATCTTCATAAATTCTAAAAAAAATTGAAGTACAAAATTAAAATATAAAAAATTCAGTGGGGGCGAATTATAATTTTAGTGGGGAATCTTATAATCCTATGCTAGGTCCATGCCTGATGTTAGCCATGGTGGCTTTATCTTTCCCTTGAGAAGAGGTGTTTAAACTAACATATTAACAATAAAATAAAGCATAGAAATAAAGATGTTTTTCATTGAATAAAAGAAAGAATTACAAGGAAAAAGAATGCAATGCAATATAAAATATCTATCTCTATTTTGTAACCCTCCACCTATATGTCCCTATTTATAGAGTTTAGAAGGGAAGATTTAGGAGGGAAAAAGAAAAGAATTTGAAAATTAAAATATAGGAGGAAAAATAAAAAATACATAAAATCTTCCTAAAATATTGTGGTTGCAATCAAGTCTTAAACTCAAGACCTCTTTAAAAGCTAATTGAGCACTGGACCATCTCTCCTACAAGGTTTTTGGTATACTTTAGAAATAAATAGACTTTTATTCTTTTGCAGTCATAATTTGTCACATTTTTACCATTTTTTTGTCCTTTCTTTTCCAAAATCAGTCCTTATAAAACATGAAAAGTAGGAATAAGAACATTTATTTGACTATATGTAGGGATGACAATGGTGCGGGTTGGGGCGGGTTTCTCATTCCCCATTCCCGTCCCCGTTTAAATTCGGCACCCCCAAAACCGCCCCATAACCAATTATTTTTTTACCCCTAATTCCCATAATCGCCCCCGTCCCATCCCGGCTTGCCCCGCCCCGCTTTAGAAGATATGAATGAGTATGGTTTTTTTTGAAGTGTGTGTGTGTGTGTGTGTGTGTGTATATATATATATATATAATATGTTAAATCAGTAAGTAAAATAGCATGGCAGGGGTTAATAGGAGTAATTTCATATGTAATCAGGGCAGTTGCGGGGCGGGGGTTACCCCTCCTCAGCCCCAAATCCGGCCGGTTTTTTTCCCAACCCCCATCCCTACCTTATTTAAATAAACGATTCTTCAAACTCGCTTTAGACAAGACGGAGGCGGGACGGTTCCCCACCAGGTTGGGATAAATTGCCATCCTTAACTATATGTATGCATGTACCCAAGACCAAGTTTGAAAGTTTTAAGATTTAACAACAACGAGGCCCAAGGCCTAGCAGAAGCTTAGATGGGCCTAAACTACTAGTCCAGTTTGGTCTAATAAAGTAACAACAAAAATAAATTAAATTAAGTACACCCAATTCCAAATGAATGACAGTGGGCCTAAACTACTAGTCCAGTTTGGTCCATAAAGACGTCAAGCCCAGCCCAAATCATTAATTTTGTGTTACAAAATTTGTTAGGAGGATTAGGTTAAAATAGAAAGTGAAGTGATACCATGTCATCGTCACGACCCTAGAGAGGCGAAGGAGATTGGCTTGGTGGTTCTTCTGTTCAACAGCACCCATGGATGATTAACCAACGATCAGGTGTGTCCCTCTCTAACAGTGACAATCACATTTCTTCTCCAATGATTTATATATGCAGTAAAATGCTTGTTCGTTTGAATTGCTCTTCTGTTTTACCTTCAACAATCCCTAAATTGTATGCCCTTCAAACCAATATTCCACTGTCTTCATCTCTCAAATCCATCTCAACTTCCACAAATCAACACTCTTTTACAGTCAATTACCTCATCAATTCATGTGGGTTGTCTCCAGAAACCGCAATTTCAGCTTCCAAAGAGGTCAATCTTAAAACCCTAGACAACCCAGATTCAGTTCTCAACTTCCTCATCAACCATGGATTCTGCGAAACCCAGGTCTCATCTGTGATAAGAAAATTCCCACAAATTCTCTTATGTGATCCCAAGAAAGAGCTTTTGTCCAAATTCGACTTCTTTTACTGCACCGGCATTTCCAGCGCTGAGCTCGCGAAGATGGTGTCCAATTACCCACTTTTATTGAGACTAAGCTTGACCAACCATATCATCCCATCTTTCACTCTATTCATTCATTTATTTGATTCACATGATAAGTTTATCACCGCCTTTAAACGATTTCCTAGGATTGTAGAGAGCTATCACAGTGCTAATACTCTCTCTAACATTGAAATTTTGAGACAACAAGGCGTAACAGATTCAAAAATGGTGTACTTACTTACTTCACATTCTACGTCACTTGACTTAAACCCTGATAGATTTAATGAGGTAGTGGAGGATGTTAAGAAATTGGGTTTCAACCCTTCACAAGCCCATTTTGTTATAGCCATTAAGGCATTGACCTCAATGAGCAAAGCAACATGGAAAAGG